CTGACCCCCCTCATCCCTGTGTAGGCCTAGAGGAGCTGCGCACATGGGTACAGAATGCAGACGGGGCATCAGATGCTGCTTTATTAAGACAAATGTGGGTGCAGGGAAAGGTTTGGAATGTGCAGCGAAGGCCTCAGCGCGGCCTGTTAGGTCACCTCTCCCTTCCTCATGTTGGCGTGTTTGGATCCATGCGCTCAGTTCGTCTACCTGGCATGAGAGAGAGAATGAAACATGGCCAGATGGGAGGAGAAGCGACCTGGGCGACCCCACCCAGCTAGCTCTGTGCTCGGGGTGTGGAAGGAGACAAAGGCCAGAGCCAGGCCTTGTCAGGGCTGTTGTAGACAAATCACCTTTGAATGGCGCCCGTGGAGGCGTGAATGTGTGGGGATGTGGCCTTGCCCTTTGGAGGCAGACCTGCATGAGCCTGAGGCCGGGTGCCATGAGAGGGCAGGTGTGGGATGCTGGCCCTGTGGCGTGTGACCCAGTGACTGGGCTACCTGAAGAGTCCCCGGTGTTACGAGTTGGCAGGGTGGGAAAGCAAGCTGCCCTTAACAGATTTGGTGTAAGAAAAGGTTTAAAAAATCTCTGCTGTAGAGTTAAGTTTTCAGTGAGCACGAACTTTTTTTTTTTCTTACAATATATTTATTTTAGAGCGAGCTTGTGCACACAAGTAGGGGGGAAGGGTAGAGGAAGAGAGAATCCCAAGCTGACTCCCTGCGTTTTCCACATTTTGTTGGGAAGGTGGCCGTCCCCATTCGGACCTGTGCAGTCAGGTCTGTGCATTTCTGTTTATTTCATAATCTCAGAGTTAGTCTATAGGGTTAGCTTTTAAGCAATAGAAGCAATCTTTCTTTTTCTTTTTTTTGTTTTTGTTTTTTGGGGGTTTGAGAGAGAGGGAGCAGGGTGGGGGGCAGAGGGAGACAGAGAGAGACAGAATCTGAAGCAGATGACCGGGCTCCCTCTAACGACCCTGAGATCAAGACCGGTGGAGCCAGGCAGGCGCCCCAGGTTAGCAGCAACTTTCGGAGGCATCCGCTGATTGTCGTAGTAGGGACTGTTTTCACACTGGATGGGAAAGCCTGAACGTTTTCAGATCTCAACCTGAAACGGTAGGTATATAAGTTCAGATTCCTGTCGTAGAGACGAGACATGGCTATTTCCCTGTCCCCCTCCCCGAAGGCCAGTGGGTCCCTTTTCCCCCTGCCTCGCTCCATTGCTGATCAGAGCAGCTGAGGACTTCATCCCAAACCTTGTCAGTTCTGTGTTCCTCCCCTGCTGGGGTCAGCCGGGCCTGTCCTTGACGCTCACTGAGGACTTTTCAGTCACGTGGGTCATCCTCACCCCCTCTTCCTTTCAGGATTCGGCAGAGAGAACGGCCGGGTGACAATCGAGTATTATTCGCAGCTGAAGACTGTGTGCGTGGAGATGGGGGATGTGGAGTCGGCCTTTTGAAAATGGGCGGCGTGCCCGGGGCGGAGCGGGGACCGGATCTCCACGGAACAGGCTTCCAGTCCAAACCCCAAACTGTGTCTTTTGGGAGAAGAGATCGGCTCAGTGTTCTTCTTCATGTCTCAGTCCCTTTCCTAACTGAAAATGTGCCCGAGTGCCTTTTAGATACTAATCAAGGAAGCTGCGGTTGTGCTCAAAGCACTTGTCTGGGAAATCTTTTACCCCCTTCTGGAGAACGGAGAGAGGGACCAGGATTATCCTCCTCCCACAGATCTGAGCCACTGACGATGCTCGGGCTCCGGTTTGCCTCAAAGACCTATTTCCCAGTTAGGCTCCTGGTGGAGTAAGCGGGCAGGATTTCCTGCTCATCGACATGTTTACGCTCTGGGCCCGTGTCATTTCATTGAGAGCCCACGGTCGGATCGTGATGACAGACGGGTCACGTTCTGCATGATGGTCACCTGCCAGAGGGAAGCACTTTTCCACTCGGTGCTGGTAGAGGAAATCAGTCCCCGGCCCTTGCAGGACAGAGAGCCTGCTCTTTTTTTATATATATGGATTAGCTGTATGCTACTGTAGCACATGAAGAAGAAATAAATCACTGTTAATCCCTTCAGCTTCGTGTTTTAAAATGAACCCCGTCTCCACGGAATGCTAGTCCGCAGCATAGGGCTGAAGTTCCAAGTGGAAGGCCAGGGGTTTGTCCTTTGCACTCGCGACACAAGGCTGGGCTTCCGTGGCTGTCAGGAATGCTGTGGCCCCGGGGAACTCGTAGGCTCCGTGTCCTTCCCCATCCTGACACACACTGCCTGTCTTTTTAGAGCCGTCAGGCCATGGGAAGTTCTCAGCCTGTTGTGGGGGTCCTCGTCCTGCCCCTTTCTCTGCCTTTCAGGGAAACAGTTTATGTGTGTTAGTTGCGTGAGTCAGGTTGTCCAGAGACACAGCGGAGTAGAAAAGGGAGCAGGCAGGTGGATGTAAGGGAAGATTTATGAGAAGAATCGGCTCACATAATCTTGGAGGCTGAGAAGGCCCCCCGTCTGCCCTCTGCAGACCCATGGAAGTGGGGGCTGTGATCCAGTCCGAGTCTGAGGGCCTAACAACCACGGGGGCAGAGGGTCTAAGCCCAAGTCCCAAGGCCCGAGAACCGAGAACCGAGGGCAGAAGACGACGGGTGTCCCAGCTCAAGTAGAGATCAAACTCCCCTTTTCTCCATCTTTTTTGCTCTGTCTGGGTCCCAAACAGATTGGGTGATGCCCACCCACTCTGGGGAGAGACATCTGCTCCCAGTTCACCACCAATTGCTGGTAACTTCTGCAAACCCCATCACGGGCAAACCCTGGCTCCTTAGAGCCTAAGAGGTTGGTCAGGTCCCCTGGTTGCTGCCTACTGATGCATGAAGCTTCACCAGCAGGGGGCGCCCGCGCTTCCCACACCTCCCGCCCGGGAGTGCACCGCGCAGTCTGGCATGCAAAGTGCGTGTGCTCTCGTTTGAGCTCAAGAACTTTCTGTGGGAAGTGTTATCATTATCCCCATCCAGCCGGGTGAACTGAGGCTAAGGGAGGCTAATAAACCTGTCCTGAGGGCACACAGCTCCCTGCTGCGGGGTACCCTGCGGTGCAATGCGGAGTAATTAGACCCGAATGGTTCTCTGTCTCCTACAGCAAAGGCCAGAATGTGTTTCTCCACAGAAATAAACCGACTCTGGGACATACACTGCTAGACGAGCAGTGAGGGGCAGTACTTACACCAAAAAAATTTTTTTTCTCCATGAGACAAAGGAATTGAACAGAAAGTAGCTCTGTTACTCTCCGCAGCAGAGATGTACACAATGGATTCAGGCACCCTGGGTGGGGCGCCTGGGGAAGTGGAAAGGCCGAGCTCTGGGCTCCCCTCTTCAATCACAGCATCATTTCACGTGGTGGGGTTCCTATAAAACCTCATTGGAGCCCATTCCACAAGAGCAAAATGACAAAGATGGATCACATGACTTTACATCCCGTCCAGACTTGCAACAAAGGTGAAAACGTCCCTTCATCCCCAGGCCGCCCCTGTGCTGCTTCCCTGATGCCCAGACTGTGTGATGTGAAAGGAAACCACAAGTTCTCTCATCCGAGGTGCACTGCTTACGAAAAACTAAACAAGAGAAACAAAAACCAAAAAAACGAAACCATAACCCCAGCCTGTTATAAAGTCAGTTTTTCTCAAGTCTGGACCACAAATACCATTCACTTCATTATATTCATTCATTCATATTCAAATACCATTCACAAACACCATCATTTATTATAAAGGACATTTTAATATAAAAGGAATGCAAGTTAAAGCTTTATGAAAACAGCCCTCATTTTCCTCCTTTTGCTCCATGCTGGGGAAGATGTCCCAGCTACAGCAAGAGTGTACACTGCTGGCCTCTGGGTGGTCATGCGGCCACGGCCGACGAGTCCAGTCACCGAGGAGAGCACTCCAGCCTCCGGTGATGGAGGAGCAGAGTAGAAAAAGCATGGATTTGAGAGTCGGGTCTGGGTGCAGACCCCATCTCTAATCCTCACGGGTCAAAGAAGCCTTGAAAGGTGACGAGAGCAACTACAGAACTGAGTTTTACTTACAGTTTATTCATCTGAATGTAAACAGCCGTATGTGGCTCGTGGCTACAGTACTGAGCAGCACAGGTATAGATGCTATCCCTCCGTGAATTGAATTCACAGCCACATTCTGTCCGGGGCAGCCCTCATTCTGACAGCCAGCAGCCTTCTCCAAGTCAACCGAACCTGTTTGGTTTTCCCCATTTTGTGCTGACAGTGTCCTTCCCCGTTTTGAACCTACGCTATTGGGTCTTTGTGTCTCTGTGAAGTTTCATAAAATTAGTCTATAACTTGAGCTTTTAAGCAATAGAAGCAATCTTTAAAAGTTTTTATTTACTTACTTATTTAGAGAGTGGGGCGGTGGACAGAGGGAAAGGGAGAGAAGCTTAAGCACGCTCCACACCTAGGAGCCCGATGTGGAGACTGACCTCATGACAGATCATGACCTGAGCCAGGATCAGGAGTCGGACACTTAACTGACTGAGTCACCCAGGTGCTGCAGTAGAAGCAATCTTTAATAGAAATTTTCAAAATGGGCATCTGGGTGGCTCAGCTGGTGGCGCCTGCCTTCAGTTCAGGTCATGATCTCCAGGTTCTGGGATTGAGCCCCATGTCAGGCTCCCAGCACAGCAGGGTGTCTGCTTCTCCCTGTTTGTGCTCTCTCAAATGAATAAATAAAACCTTAAATAAATAAATAATCCTTGTTACCGTAGGTGTTAACTGTAAGTGTAAGATATTCTTATATCCCAACTCAGGCTGAAAGACTTTCCTTCCTTGGGCCCCAATTTTTCACGGCTGTGGCATGACTATGAACATTCTACCACAACTGGATGTTTCCCTGGCTTCGCCTCAGTAAATATCCTCTGGAAGGGTGAGGAGGGGGCTCAGTACCCACCACCTCTCCCATCCAGTAGAACAGGCTACTTCTTCTAGAAGGAGACTCAAAAAAGAAATCAGCAAAGAGTCAGGTTTAGGTATGAGGCTAAGGCCAGGTAAGTTTTTATTATATTTAGAAAAAAAAAAGTAACTGACAATAAAAGTGAAGTCACTCAAAACGAATGAGTTTTTCAAGACCCTGTAGTTCTTCAATGGCAGCATTTGGACCCACCGCCCAAGCCGGTCTTAACCCAACCGAGGTGCTGGAAGGCAGAGCACACGGTTGTGCCCATGAGGCCAATGAGGGCTATGGAGCCCAGGGCCCCGCGACTCCGCTTGCTGGGCTCTGAAACAGGAGAGAGAACAGAGGTGACTGGAGGTGCCAGACAGAGGACAACGCTGTCAACACCCGCGAGCCATTCTAGCAAGGCATCGGGGGTTGCGCGTCAGAGCATCTGGTCTGAAGAGGTCAACCAACGCCTGGCCGGAGTGGCCAGTGTGTCAGCTATGGCATGCCAAGAAATGTGTCCCCAGAGTCTTCTCTGGACCCTCAGAGAACTGGGGATAATAATTAGAACAACTGTGCTCCAGGATCTTTGGGAGTGCCCCCACTTTCAAGAGGTAAGGAGAGCCAAATCTCTCCCTGTTCTCTCTCGGGCAACCACTTATCGTAGTGGGTTGGGAGCAGGGGCTCTGGGGTCGGGCTGCCTGGGTTTAAATCCCGGCTTCCCAGTTTACACGAGTAGCTCTGAGCCTCAGTGTTCCATCTATAGCACAGGACACACTATCTGCATCACAGAAATGCTATCACGTTAAGCAGCATACTCTGGATCTCAGAGCGGCAACTGGCACACAGAAAGTGCTCAGTACTAATAGTTTTGTTACTTTTCGAAGGTCAGTGAGAAGGAAGATACCTGACCTGCCCCCTAAACAAAGTACTTCCCCTTTTCTTAAAGCCCCGCTAAGAAGAAAAATACAGTGGCATGGGATTTTTAATTTGTTTCCTTGGCAGATGTCGTGATGTACTCACCTCCTGTGTAATAACCATAAGCATAAAGAACTCGTCCAACAATCCAGGCCACGCCCAGGCCAGAAGCTATACGCTGCAAGAAAAGGGCTGGGTCAGTATCGGCATTCGAGAAACATTAACATCTAGGGCTGAAGACATAATGCTCTCCCAAAACTTCCGTGGATATGGTAAAACGCTCCCCCAACAAAGTTAGGGTAGAGGCATGTTATTTGTCTCAGGAACATCAAAGATCTGTGATTCTTCTACGAACTGCTTGTGGATGGGGAAGGTGAGGGCTGACCTTCCTGGTGGATGGGATGGAAGGAACCTTCTGGCTTGCCCTGGGGACTGAGGTGTGGGCATACGAGAGAGGGAGAGGCAGGCCGGGGGTCGGGCGTGAAGGGTAAGCCCCAAGAGGACCCTGACTCCAAGGCAGGACTGGCAGAGAAGCCTGGTTGTCTCCATGGGCCTGCCACTGCATCTCTGAGTCTCCCCCCTCATCGCCCCCCAGAAGGGGGTCAGAGCAGGCTGTGCTGCGGCCCGCACTTGGGCTGAGGGCTCTGCTAGGAAAAGTGGGCAGAGCGCGTCATGTTGTCGTCCCAGAACATGTGGTCTTGGAGGCAGAAGTCTCCCCCTTCCATGACCCTTGAGAAGAGAGAGTAAAACTCACGTAAGATGACTAGTCCTACGTGAGCACCATCCTGGGGGTGACCATCTGGTCAAAACGAGCCAGGACAGACTGGGAGGGGGAGTGGGCACATGAAACATTGCACACCAGTCTTCTGTGCCTTCACCATTCATCAGTGGCGTCCCAAGGGGTAAGGTTAGTGCTTTAGGATTTGTTTAGTTGATCTGGGGTAAGGTTAATGATCAGGTGTGTGAAACCACTGAAAATAAAAATCCCGGGCCCCTAAGTCACTATGTGCAACCTGGTCTCTGCCAGGCCCTGCTTGGCTGTAATGTTAGACAGTTACCACCAGATGTCCCCAGAGTAGTTCTTCGAGTATTTTAGAGACCTAAGCGCAGGAATGGAGTCTAGGGCAGACAGACTGGAAAAGGGATAGGGGTGGACATTGGGATGCCTCATTAGAGGGACTGGCTTGTCGCCCTTTATTTAGGTAAGGTATACCGCAGACCACACTCCAGCCACGAGCCCTCATGGCCTACAAGGCCCTGTGGTCTGCTACCCACGGAAGCCGTGCCGCCCCCGTCACTATTCACCGGACAGACTGGACGGGCTCTGGCCTCAGGGCCTTGCTCTTGCGCTTTGCCCAAAGATGTCTACCACCCTCGACACTTGCTCCCTACCCTTCTGTAACGTTTGCCTCATTGTCACCTCGGCAGCTGGCACAGTCCTCACTTGACCTCCTCACTCACAGCGGCCTCCCGATCCAGAACTCCCTTCCCACCTGCCTGCTGGGTTTTCCTCCGTGGCACGCATCGCCTTGTGGCGAACTGCATCATGTAGTTATGTGCTAGAGTCAATGACCCCGGGTAAAAGTTAACCCGGTGTCTGGGTCTGTTTCGTTCACCGCTGTGACCTCAGGTGATCCATCAATGACTGACTATGACAAAGGAGAAAATCACGGACATGAACCCTGCAGGATCAGACCTGGGTTCAAATTCTTCTATTTTCTACGTGGCTATTTGCCCCTGGGATGGTTTCATAGTATCCAAGAGGTTTCTCCTGATCTATTAAAAAAAATGGGGAAAGTTCGATATGCCTTAAAGAACTTTTTAACAAGAATGAAATTCTTCTTAATGGACACTAAAGATGTTCATTCAATGTCCATTTCCTGCTCTCCTCCCTAATAGCTCAGTGAACGAGGTCCAAACAGACGGGCGCCTGGTGGCTTAGTCATTTAAGGGTCTGCCTTCGGCTTGGGTTGTGATCCCAGGACACTGGGATCCAGTCCTATGTCGGGCTCCTTGGTCAGCGATTCCCCCTGACTCCCTACCCCCACCTTATGCACATACTCTCTAATAAAATCTTAAAAAAAAAAATCCAAATAGATGAAAACTCCTTGGGAAAACTTACCGGGTGGTAAACACCTCCAACAGCTAGGAAAAATAAGAATGGAGGATACACTTCCAACCTAGAATAGACAGAGACCTTTTTGTAAAAAGTGCCCATATGACATGTGCCCGTACCCCTTATGCTCTTATTTGCTGAGTCAGACACTGGAGAGTAAAACTGAACACTGAGGGCAGGGAGAAGCCCTACCACTAGGATCTACCCTCTTTCCTCCTGCGTGGGAGCCAAAGTCCACAGCTCTGAATACTCTAACAAGGAAGGTGGTGGCTAATGCCAGCGGATTTCCTTCCAGAGCTCACAGCCACTCCCTCCCCAGGGCTGGGAGATTCAATCTCAGCTTAGACAGGAAGCCTCGCAAATGCTGCTGAAGGCCAATGTAACTTGAAAGACATTTTTGAAGGATTATCCAGAACCCCACTCTTATAACAACTCTGAATATTCAGTCTGTCCACAGACATATTTTCTAAGACCCTTTTAACTCCCAATCATCATCCCAGCTGCTACTCAGTGAACGGGGCAAAGGCCGAGGTGCTGGGCAGAGGACACACAACACTGCAGACCTCCCCAGGGGCCTGCGGGGCCGACACTCACGTGTTCTGGTGGGCACGCTGAATGCAGTTGAAAAGGTGCCCGTTCTCAGGGTCCGTGCTGTACATGGTAGGATACTGTGAGAACAACAGGATACCGTGGATCAAATGGTCAAGAGCAACATTCAGTGTTGAGTTACAGCCAACCTCGAAGATAATCTATCCTCAAGCAACTTCTACTTTACCCTTGACAGGTGATCACTTTCTGCCTGACACTCGCAGTGGGGTCTCAACTCTCAGAAGCAGATTCAATATATTTCTGTTAATATCCAGTCCTAAGAATGTATGTCTGTGCCACAGTCACACAAGGGAGGGAGGCAGCTTGAGCCAGACTCCCTGCCGTTGACATTGTGCCGTGACTGCTGGATTCCCCACATAGCACAAAGACACCCCAGGGGAACAGCTTCTTCCCACGAGCTATCAGATACCACAACCTTCTAAGATTTTCTTTAATGGGAGAACAGAAATTGAGTGTGAGAACTTTAAAGGATGTGTCCATTAAAAAAAAAAAAAAGGAAATCAATAGGAAAACTTAAAAAGAAGCTCTAGTCAGAGTCTAATAATAACTTGCTGAACAGAAGCAGACATTTGAATTTTGCTCACCAGGGACAACCCCAGTAATTAGCCCTTTTAGATCAGCAGGAACGAAAGGAAGCATTTCACAGACCTTCTTCTTAGGTCTACCGTCTAAGCCCAGGCTAACCTCAGCCCCACACGTTTCTTTACTTGGGAAACAGACAATCACCTTTCAACACCATTTTTAAAGTGGCACATGAGGGAAGACTTACCATTTAACTCTCTTTATTTAGTTACGTTGTATTACTTATTTTAAAAAATCCAAGTATAATCGACACACATGAGTTTCAGGTGTGTAATGTAATGATTCGATGTATGTGTGTGTGGTGGAGTGATCACAGTAAGTCTAGGTACCAGAGTTGCAGCGTTTTCTTTTGATGAGAGCATTTAATATTTGCTCTTAGCAACTTTCAAATATATAATGGAGAATTATTCATTATGGCTGCCATGTTGTACCTTGTAGCTCTTGTTTTTTTAGATTCTACATGTAAGTGAGGTCATGAGATATATGGCTTTCTTTGCTTTATATCACTTAGGATGATACCCTCAAGGTCCATCAATGTTGTCACAAATGGCAAGATTTCATTCTTTTCTATGGCTGAGTAATATATATATATGTATATATATATATATGTATGTATATGTATGTATGTATACGTACACGCACATACATGTGCGTGCACACACACACACACACATCTTTATCCACTCATCCACTGATGGGACACTTCGGTTACTTCCGTGTCTTGGCTACAGTAAATAGTGCTGTTATGAACATGGGGTGCACATATCTTTTTGAGTCAGTGTTTTCATTTTTTCTTTTTTTGGGGATAAATACCCAGAAGTGAAACTATTGCATTATACTGTCATTCTATTTTTAATTTTTTGAAGACCCTCCATTATTTTCCATAGTGGCTGCACCAATTTACATTCCCACCAACAGTGTGTTCCCTTTTCTCCCCCTTCGACAGCTTTGGCTACTTCTTGTCGTTTTGCTCATAGCTATTCCCCACTGGGCGTGAGGCAGCATCTCACTGTGGTTTTGATTTGCATTTCCCTGATGATGAGTGACGGTGAGCACCCTTTCATGTGCCTGTTGGCCATCTGTATGTGGTCTTTGGAAAAATGGCTGTTTGGCTCCTCTGCCCAATTTCTAAATTGGATCGTTTGATTTTTTTTTTTTTTTTTTTTTTTGCTATTGAGTTGTATGAATTACATATTTAGGAAATTAACCCCTTATCAGATATATGATTTGCACAAATTTCTCCCATGCAGTAGGTGGCACTTTTCATTTTGTTGGCAAATTCCTTTGCTGCACAGCAGCTTTCTGGTTTGATGTGGTCCTGCCTGTTTACCCCTTGTTAGAAAATAACACTCTTCCTGGCACACAGCTCCAGCCAAAGGCCATACCGTTCTTGCCCCAACACAGCTGGTCTTTCTACAACGAGAGCAAGTGAAAACAAGAAGGAGACTGCTCCCCAGCAGAGTCCCCCATTTCCTGCCTTCTTCCTGCCTGAAAAGGGCAGGATTTCGAGTGGATGTGGTTCTCAGACTGCCACTGCTGGCCTCTGGCTTCTCACCTCTCCTTCCACGACTGAAAACAAGTTCTTGCCTCAACAGATCTAGGTTCCCACTCACCTCCACTTTGTACTTCTTTCGGGCCTTGGAAACGTTGATGGCTAGATGAGCTACCATTATGAAGCTGGCGGCACCGGTGAGAACCACAAAACCATATTCCTTAGAGAGGACAGCCATGCTGGCTCTGTGGAAAGACGATGAGTTAGGATACCACCCAGCACCGCAGGCACCCACGGCAGGAGGCCTGCAGCTCGGGGCTTCACTCCCTGTGAATGTCTACCTACAGGTCAGAAAGCTGTGAGTAAACGTGATGTTCCTGCAGATGCAGACGTCACTGTGTGTCACACAACAGACCCAGACCAGACCCTTATGCAAGTATGCAATGGTCACGCAGAAGAGCGCGTGATCATATCACGTGTTCTCTTCCTATGAAGCCGTACCACCGCAGTAGGCATTGCTGGAGAAGGACACAACTGCTGAAAAACCACAGTTTCACAAAAAAAGGTTAACAGGGCAAAATCTAAAGGATGTATTAAATTCGAGAGAGAGGAGAGAGGTAGGGGAGGCAAAGCAGGATATGAAAAATATACGGTGATTCCAAGTTTTTGAGTGTCTGTTGGCATGGGGGGGGTCACTGAAGGCAGGCACCCTGGGACTCCCTTTGACCCTGGGGCACATGCTGGTCTGGGAGAAGGCAGGAGACCCAGTGGCAGGCGGAGCCCATCACACTGTTAAGAGACTGGGCTCTGGGCAGCTCCGGGGAGCCAGGTCCGTTCCTCGAATTCTCACTTCAAAACTAGCCCTGGCACGTGATCTGATGCCTGCAACTTACCTGAAATGGATCAGGAAAGGACAACACAAACCAACAGAGCCAAGTGTCAATTATGGAAACCGGACAGCGGCTCTACAGATGGTAAATGTATGATCCTTCCAGTTTTTCTGTATATTTGAAAAATGTCATTATAAAATGGAGAACAAGCAAATCTTAGCATTTTTCAGGGTTCTACCACTTGAGCTATTTTAGCTACTGTTCTGCCCCAGAAGGAAAGGAAAGAGAAGAAACAGACTGGCCAGCAAGGAGAAGAGAACTTGGCAGGTGGGAGGAGGCCCTCATCATCTCACGGTAGGATCAGTGCCGGCTGTGCAACTGCTCGGACTTTGGTCAGCAGACCACTGAGGCAGGTGGGACACAGAGCACAGCCAGGGTGCTTCCTGAGATCCTCACCTGCCCAGGCACCGGGGGCCAGGCTGCCACAGGCCAGCAGCTCCTGCCTATGTTCTGCATCTGGTTTAAAACCTCCACCCTCCTAACTGGCTCACTGCAATCTGTCCTCCAAGCCCAGGAGGGCTCCCCTGCCCCAGAGTGTTTCTGGTTGACCTCACCAACAACCCAGCAAGATGGAATAACCCTATTTCCAAAGAGTACCCCGACGGTGAAGGCATGTTGCTGGATCCAAAACAGAAGGCACCAGAGCTGGGAGTCACATTTAGATTCCAATCTGGTTCTGATGTCCCCTTTTAATCCCACTTGGAAACGGAGAGCTGCACTGATGATGGGGTCACAGAGCCTTTCTCAGTGTGGAATCGGGGGCCAGAAAGCAGCTCTGTTCTTCAAAAGCACTCTTCCCTTAGGACTCAAAAGTGACATTTAGCGCTGAAGTCCTCAAGTCTGCCCCGCCACCCTTCACGATCCATAATAATTATCCCCAGTTTCTCCTTCTACATTCCTACCCTGCGTTGCATCCCAGGGGTGCTCAGCCCACCTTGCTTGGGTTAGGGGAGAAGGGGACACACTGCGAAGGGTTATCGCCATGACTCCGCAGAGGAACGCCTCCTGGACACTCTCTCCCCACCATCAGGTACGGTTGTAGAAAGCAAGCGGTCTCCGGCTGCCCTGCAGACCTTCCTGCCCTCGTTCCCTTCTAGAATCAGTTGCTTCCTGAAATGCAGAAAACCAGCTCCAGGAGGTAGCAGTTACCACGACAAAAATATAAGGTGAATCCTGAACACCTCTTTGAAAACAGCAATGGGTGATCCTCCCAACCTATCTGATGTCCTTGGGGCTCAATAGCATTTGGCTAGACAGGTCATTTAAAATGAAGCTGTCACTCACTCTGTCAGGACAATCAATTAAGCACAGTTGGCTTAGGTCAGTATTTGCACGCCAAGAGAGTCCTGGAGTGAGAGCCCATTTCCAGACCCCAGTCTCCAGACAGGACGCCAGGAAGCATGGGGTCACCCGTGTTTGCGTAGCAGCTTTCAGCCACTTTTAAGCCCCGCAAAAATCCCATTAGCTTCACTTCACAGAAAAAGAAACGGAAGCTCAAGCAGAAGAAAGCAGAACTAAGACCAGAACGGGTTTTAGAATTCTTCCCCAAATACCCAGGCATGGCAAAATTTCATGGCTTAGTCACTGATCTTGGTTTTCCTGGTTTGCACCGCCTTGGGGTAGGAGAAGCTAAGTGGCCAGACAGACAAGTACCTCTTGAGTAGGTCTTTCTGTTGCAGGCAATGAACACTCAGGTGACTGCTCAAAAATGTACAATCTGAAATTAGCATTTACTACTGAGCTCCCCTCCCTAAGTGTATATGTAATCTGGGATTCACACTCTAGTGAAAGTTACCCTCCTCCTACCTTGCTACAGTGATGGGTATTAGGGAAAAGCAATCTGGGTAGGGGCAAGCAGAACCAGAAGAACAAGTACCTTTGAAGGACAGAGAATTTATAGTAAGGGGGACCCAGAGTCCAGTGCTAGAGTGGGTGGTTTGCAAAAGACTGCACAGCTAGCCGTGGGACAGCAAGTGTGCTCACATGGGGGCAAAGTGCCTACCTCCCTGAACCTCTCCCTGCAGGAGCCTGGACACACCTGCAAAGGCGCTAAAACAAAGTCCAGGAAGCTGGCTGTAGGATGGGCAGCACAGCCCTCCTTGACCCCCTTGCACTCCCGCCAAGTGTGCTTCAAACACCAGAGCAGTGCGTGCTACCCAGCTCCCACAAGGGGTGACTGCGTTTGACATCCTGATGCCAAGCACAGAGTGTGCCTATAGACACCTGTGGAATAAACGAAGCACACCACCGCTCCAGGAGGCTTTTGGGAATGACACCTCCAAGCAACAGAATGTTTGTCACCTGGAACTAAGCCTGGCATAGAGCAGGCGCCTAAGGGATTTAAGATCCCTTTCGTTCTCCTTAAAAGTATCTACTAAAATCTCTGAAGCAGAGAAAGACAAGGTCAGGACACAGAAAAAAACTCTGTCACTATCGCTATTGAAAACATAAATCCAACAGGGACTGGAAAATGGTTCAGGTTTGTCCTTTCAGGGGAGAATCAGCTTCATTCAGTCAGAGATCTCCCCCACCCCATAAATTCCCATCATCTGCTGAGTCCTTCTGTCCTGAGGAATGCAGGACGCTCCCACCCCTTAAAGATTGGCCTCTGTGGGTTCGGGTGCAGGTGTGCACACTGGTTAAGAGGAGGCAGTGCAGTTGACAGAGGCCCAGCCCTGGCAGCCACAGCCACGCCCAAGGCTGTCCCAGCCCTGGAGCTGGCAGATAGCTTCCCCGGGGCACAGGCTTCTGCACCTCTGGCATGAGCACTCCCCGCACTGCACACCACACTTTGTTGATTACATACCTGCTCTGCTCACCAGCAACCCTTCCAGCGACCCAAGAAGATAAGGTGCTCTTAGGGGTGGGAGCTCTGCCCTAGACCTGGGTCTTGGACATGATGCCAGACGCACAGCATGTGGCCTAACAGCCCCTTGGGAGCTCAGCTTCCAAAGCAGGTCTAGAGTCCTCTGCAACCCGCCTTGCTGTACAATGGGTGTTTGTTAATCGTCACCCTGTTTTCGAGGCTGGCCACACTCCAGCTGTGTATATGAGAAGCTATAATTTGTATAAATAGGACAGAATTTAGGTGCCTATTTAAAAGTACCTCGTCCGCACAATTACACAGTGGTGGGGAAGTGCAAAAGCGAACCCTCTGGAGAAGAGCCCGACAATGGGAATATCCTTTACATCCTTCATACCTTCTGATTCATTAGTTCTACTGGGAAGCTAGCTGGAGGCCATAATCAGAAACTCAGATAGATTTGGTTCAAAGACACTCACCTAAGCACCATTTATAACAGTAACTACAGCAATGGCACAATGGCCAGGCAAAGAGGACTAATTAAACAAACAAGTGCACCCATAAACAGAATACTGTATAACCACTAAAATGGCGTGCACACGATTAAAGGTGCTGAAATGGGTTTAACATAGAGCATGTTAGGTTAAAACATTTCAAAAAGTGTATATACAGAACAATCTTCGTTTTCTCCCTAAGGAATTTTAAAAGAAAGTATCAAAATCATAAGCTTAATTATTCTTAGACAGGCAAACTGTAGACTTCCTCTGTACTTTCCTATAATTTCCACGATGAGCAGATACAGACCAAAAAGTCATATGGAAATGGCCTGACAGTAGTCAGGAATTGAGAAATCAGAGAACTAGACAATACACTGCGATGGGACCAGTCATATGGGACTTCCAGCCCGAATCTCGTCACTCACTGAGGATGTTCTGGAATGACACTGAGGTCAGAACCTGGTTGCCACACTTCCTAGCTGTATGTCCTTGGGGAAATTCTTCACGTATTTCAGCGGCCTCAGCCTCCGTATCAGTTAAATGGAGACACTGGTGGTACCCACCGCCCCTACAGTTGTTGCGAGGAAGACTCGGGGAGACTCGGGGATGGGGACGCTATCAGTGCCCAGCATGACGACTGGCAGGTGCTGGGCACTCAGCGGAAGTTTGGGATCGGGTTGCGTCATGTGTTAATGTGAACGGTCTCTGCCCTGATTCAATTATAAAAGGGGATGTTTGAATGAATGATAATCTACATATAAGAATTTATTTAGAATTGCTATTTTAACACAGCTAACATAACTATACATACTCACTTCTTTTTCTGAACTCCTAGCCAGCTATGCTCAAGGATCTGAAAAGCAGGAGTGTTCAGGAGGAAGCAGGTTTCCAACGTGGACCTCGGAAACTGGCACTGCGGCCAGAAATGCCCCAGAGGGGGGTGAGCGCGCGTTCACTTGCTTCTTGCTAATTCAAGTTCACTGAGCACCTGCTGCGCCACTCACTGGGGGGCCCCCATGCTGGAGATGAAGAGCCCAGACTTGGGTCCCTGCCCT